TACTACATGCATGTATTTTGGTTGATTACTACTTAGACTTTGGGTCTTTGAGGGGGAATAGAGAATCATCCTTTTAAAAATGAGATAAAGGTTATACTTGAATTGTCAATTGAAGTGAATAATTGGGCCACAGTATCAAAGCTCTAAGCTTCAAACAATTTTTTTTAGCAGCAGGTCTTCATAGAGAGTTTTATTATTTGGCTCGAGGTAGCTAATAAGGTGAATTGTGGCAGTGAGATTAACAGATTCTGGCTTCAGAGAAATGAAAAGCTACACATTTTGAAATGTCCTGGAATTATAGAGCTGTGAGAACTGGTGCACACAAAAACATAGATCTGCAAATCTCCAGCTTGTCTAACCAAAACCATACTGAAATGCACACCATCATTATTAAACCATCACCCAAGCCCAACTGGGATTTACTGTGCTCAAGCTTATTTTGCATTTGAAGACAACAAAATATTTGTAATTCCATTTCAGTTCAGTGAAGTCTCTGGTCGTGGGTCCTTTCCGCTGTAGTCTACTGATGGGTCCTGTAGCCAACTTCCTGAGGTTTCTAGTTTTCATTGGGGAGGGGGCGGTTGGGGAAGATGTAGGGGAAGTGAAGCTGTATAGATATCAGTCCTTGTTAAATCAAGAGTAGGGGAACCAGGGCTGCATTTTCCAGACATGGTCCAGATGGAATTGGCTTCAACTTGTTTATAATCTGTTGCTAGTTTTAACAACTTCAAAGATTTTTGAAAGGAAGTAGGAAAAGGTTGGACTAGAGAGTTGACAAAGTTTTTCTCAGGAGGCTGTTGGAGTGAAACATTTAAAAATCGTCAACAGAGCACTACTTGTAGAGAGCTATGTCATTATTCTACTATGGGTTCAAGTAGACGCAGCAGCTTTAATTAAGCCACATTATGAGTGAAAGGGGATAATTCTTTCTATTGCAATTTTTAAAAAATTCATTTTAGTGTAGATGTTAGCGAGCACCCAGAACATAGTGTCATCATTAACTGGATCACTTGCTCCTTATATTTGAGATGTAAATGGATATATTCTGGACCTGCTTCACGTTATGCCAGCAGTCTGAAGTTATGTCTGCAGGTTAATTTGGCCTGATGGTTGGATAAAACTGAAGCAGAACTGCCACATTCCAGCGTGTCTGCTTTAATGGTAGTACCTGTATTTATTTGTATCTGGAGATGAGGATTCTTCAAGGGCAGGAACTATTTATTGAATGTAAGATATTCTTGATAACAGTAGGCTGGTATCTTTAAAAGTACAGTTTATAGTATAATATACCCAAATCCAACTTCATCTAGTAGAAACAAAGGGATGTATTGGGGGTGGGATGAACCAACTGTTTATACAGGTTTTCAATCGGCTTTTCTTTTAAAAAGTGCATGGAATGCATCCAAAGCTAATAATGTTTTGTTAGATGAGAAGACCAAAAGGGAAATCCTAAAGAAAGGAGGATGGGTGATCTTTCTTTAATGTCAGAACTGACATAAACACCGCCCCCCTTTGCTCAAGATAGTTTTCTCAACAAGACCCAGATTGCTTCAGTCTTTGCCTATCACCCTTTGAAGCACTTTCCTTATTAGTAGGAGTGGGGGCAGGGTTTCCTTTGAGGATTTTTACGGCAGTGAAGAGTTCCTCCTTTAAATATTTTCACATGATGAGGGAATTCCGCTTTCAAAGTGCTGTCATCACCGTGGCTTCTCTGCCATGAGACAATTTATTCCTGCGTGAAGGGCCTTCTTAGTTTGATTGTCAATAGGACTTACCTTTCTGATGGATTCTCTTTCTATAGAGCTGCACTTTTTTGAGACCTAGCAAAAGAACTCAGCATTCTCCTGTGTTGACCTCATTGGTGAAGTTGGCCATGGCTGTCTTTTGAAATGTGTTGGTTTCATCACACGGGGGTTATAGTCCTCAACGTGGTTTCTCTTGGCAGTCCCACTAATTAAGATTTGGGTGACAGGTTGAATATTCTATCTTGAAAACTACATTTCTAATACCGTGAAAAGGGACACTGTAAGTTTTAGGGAGTTTTGAAATGTTCTTTTTTTTTTAGTGACTCTTTCAATGTTTAAATAACACCATGATAAACAACAAATAAACCAAGTGTCAACAGTTTTCCCAGAAACATTGAAATCTTTTGAGAACCTCTACTCAGTTCTTGAGCATAGTCTTCTGGAAGGTTCTATAAATATTTAATTCATGGTTACAAACTGTATAGCTATATGGTTTAATAGTGCATTGGAAAGCAGTTTGCTCCCTTCCCTTTTAACAATTTGGTCATTAGAAGGTGAGAGAATCAGTATTGTTTAAGATACATCCATCGTCTGCTTCTGTCTTGAGGCCTGTAAGTGTAACTACCAGCTAATCCAGACAACCTGCCACCTCCTTCCTGCTAGAGTGTTCAAGTTAATGACCTCTCAGCCTTTTGTTGAGGGTGAAAGTGGAACATCAGAAGAGAGCCCTACACTAAAGTCAGAATACCCATATTCTAGTTTTGGCTCTCGCGTTCCTGCCTTTGTAACNAAGAGAGCCCTACACTAAAGTCAGAATACCCATATTCTAGTTTTGGCTCTTGTGCTCCTTCCTGCCTTTGTAATGTATCCTCTGTTCCCCTCCTCCCTCCAGCCCTGTAGGTGAGTGACCTAAACCATCTTCATGTTCTTACCATCCTAAATAAATAGTAAGCCTACTTCACCTACATAGAGAGGCTTAAGTATAATGACTGAGCCAAGTGGCATACTCCAGTGAGAAACCAGCGTTGGAATTTCTTAGTCTAGTCGGTAAAAAAGGAGTATGATTATATTTTCTCTCTTTTGTGAAACTCTGTGAGGTAGCATAATTTTTTTGTTTAAGGGTCATTGGAAATCAATTTAATAAACATTTGAGCTGTGTCTTTGTGCGGTACTCGTGATAGGCAGTGAGAACACTCAGGTCAGCGAGCCGGACTCTCCCTTCAGGGTGCTCGCCACCTAGTCAGGGAGGAGGGCACAGAAACAGGGAAGTCACAATCCAGGGACACGAGCAGCGCTAAGGTATATTTGATGCAGGGTAGCATGGCCGGGGGATATATGTGTGTGTGTGTGAGTGTGTGGGCGCGCGCGTCTATATATATATATGTATGTACACACATACACATTTCTCAGTACCTATTTTTAATTCTAGAAATAGGAAAATTTTTGTGATTAAGGAATAGAGGCAGCTTTATGGTAAACTAAGAACAAAATAAAACAAGCCCTGGCTGGGTTGCTCAGTTGGTTTGAGTGTCGTACCGATATTCCAAGGTTGTGCATTCGATCCCCAGTCAGGCCACATACAGGAATCAACCAATGAATGCATATATAAGTGGAACAACAGATCAATGTTTCTCTTTCTCTGTTTCTTCCTCTCTCTCTCTCTCCCTCAAATAAATTAAAACCCCCCACTCCTAATTCTTTACCTATTTTCTATTGGATCAATTATGTGCCCCATAATATTAGTTGTCATAAACCGCAATCAAATGAATTATGACATGGGCAGTTAAAAAATACAGAATGTTCTCATTCTTTCCATAAATTATTTTTCAGTGTCCTCAAACGTGACCATTAAACCTCTCTTTACTAGCAATTGGCACTTCTGTCACTAAGCAAAGAACAACAGCTGAATGTGTCAAGTAATCATTCTAGAGCAAATACTATAGCCCGGAGTATGTTCAGATTCTCTTTAGAATTTAGGCACTAGGGAAAATTGAGTTTTCTAGAGAAGACTAGTGTGTCTTAGCATAATTAATTTTGGTGGAATGTTACAACTAGAAGGGGAAGGTTTTCCTGGTGATTTGCAGCAATCTTGAACTCACATCAAGGAACTGGAAAGTGTTCAAAGGCTGGGGGTTAAGTCTAGCACTGACTGTGAAAGCTGTATTATTGTGTAGTGGGGGATGGGGATCTTGGGAAAGAGTTTCTTATAAAAATTTGGCCTGAGCTAATTTGTTTTGTTTGAAACTGGAAATAGTATTGTTGAAGTTTGCATTCTGTTTTCTTTCACTAGGTGTAATAACACAAAGCACCATGTTTTTAAAGGGTTTCTTCCTTTCTGCAGGAATAAATTTGGCTTCTGAAAAAGAAAAAAATTGCACCAGCAATTCAGCAACATTGCACCTCTTTCATCATTTTGGGGATGCAAGTTTCAGCTCAGTAACTCCCGACATATTTTCTGGAAACATGTAAAAACATGCCCATAAGTACTGAACATAAAACCCGACTTTACACTCATAAACATTTGTATAATCTTATGGTCCATAAGTACTGAACATAAAACCTGACTTTACACTCATAAACATTTGTACAATCTTATGGTCCATTTACCATCGAGTTTCTTAAAGCTGTGTGCATATTTTAAAAATCATTAGAATAAATGAAAATTGGAACAAGATGCTATGAGAGAAGGTGCTACCCAGATATGCCTGAAGAGCACTGTTCTATGACTTGTTCCTATGAAGTGAGCAAGCCTCCTGCCCCTAAAACAGATAGAAGCAATGCTTTCCAGATACACCCCCATCCCAAGAAATTAAATATCCATATTCTTAGTATTTTAACCATCCAAACTAAGTGCTGAAAAAGAATGCTTCCTAGAGAGGTGTGGGATAAACTGTATTTTGGAAAATGGCACATTTTAGAACTCATAGTGCTTCAGGGCTGTGCCCAGTGACCCTGAAGGTAAGAGAAAGAAGAGAAAGTGGTGAGAGGGAGCTTTATAAGTCCAAAGATGCTCTAGAAAACTACTAGATGGTCTAAGAATGTCTCATGAAACAGAAAATCCCAATACAACTGTAATCTGAATGTGAGGAAAAGGTTATTCTTAAAAATTAGTTGCACTCTTGCAAAATATATTAGCCTTCAGCTTTTAACTTTTTTTTTTCAGGTTGAAAAATGTAAGCATGAGTTTTGCGTTCTAACCCAAGGCTTTGTATCTCTCTTCTCTCCGGTTGGGTTCTTGTGCCTGCTCTGCCCCAGGTTGGCCTTCATTCCACGATGTGATCAGTTCTGACGCAATCACACTCACAGATGACTTTTCCTACGGGATGCACAGGGTGGAGACAAGCTGCTCTCAGGTCAGTTAACACCCCCCACCATTCCACTGCCAACCCCAAAAATACAGTGCTCACTCTTCATTGAAAAGGCTTCCAAGACTCCTGGTTTTGCTAAATACACCAATTAATTCCAAGTGAATGGTCACAAAAGGGGCAGACGACCGCCATGAAGTCTCTTACGAAGTCTTAATGGTACCTCAGCCATCAGGTGTTTAGCAAGTCCAATTCCATGTCAGTCGTTGGCTTTAACATGATTAGACAAAATCATTGGTAGGAAAAATTGTCAGTTGACGGTAGAGTGGGGAATGAAGATTTCATTTTGTGGCCTTACATCATCTGATGTTTAGACCACCTTCCTCTCCCTGCAGTTCTGTGCACGCATTACCTCTAATGGCAATGATCCAAACATAGTGAACAGAGACCCCAGAAGCAGCTTTCCGTGGCTCGGTGTGAGTGGGGAGGGTGGAGAATGGCGGTAGGAAGAGGAAGTTCAGTGGTAGGCTGTATGCACGGAGGGTGGGAATATGGGATAGGGTGATTTCTCCTCTACTTCTCCAAGAATGTAGACCAGTCCTCGTTTCCAGGGATGTTCTGATTAGTTCCCGTTACTCTGCTCTCACCAAACTGACTATGCTGCTCTAAGAGAGAGAATGAGCGTGCGTTGAGGAGGCGCAAAAATAGTTCATCGGCACCCCAGTCAAGAGACTTGGATATGCAGGTATTCGGCGCTTAAACCTAGAGAAATAGCCAGAACCTTCCGGCATATAGAATAAGAGCAACCATGCACTCTACTCTGTAGCGGGCAGGCCTGTTCTTATCTGCTTTGAATGAGTGAAATGCAAAGTCTGTGTATCGTGGCACTGAAATTCATTGATACCACAGTGTTTTGTTGGGGGATGTCTGTTGCACATATCAGAGGTAAAGGGGGCACAGTCAGGCAGCTGAAATAGCAAAGTGATTGCCATGTGGGCCTCCCTCAGCATTCTTCTACCTGCCCTTTAACCCCCTCCATCAGGCACAAGAGTTTTAGGGAGTAGGTGGCATATTTACCACCAAGTGGGGAGGGAGATTGGTTTGACCCTAACCATCTGATGAATTTCTGTTTTCATTTTTTTTAAATAAGGTTGGCAAGTTTACTGTCTTCAAATATGGGAGCTACTCTCTCCTTTGCAAAGCAGGCTCTTATTTTATCTAAGTCACATTTTCAGTTCACTCTTCGTTTCTCAGATATGAGTCTCTATGCAAGCTAGAGGAACTTTGTGAAGCTGGGTCTCCCTCCTGAGATTCTAATTTAATTGGTTGGGGTGAGGCCTGAACATTGGCATTTTTAAAAGCTCCTCTGGTTAATACTCACAATAACCTTACTAGTTATATACTTTCATTCTCTCTCATTTTACAGTTGAGGAAACTGAGGTACAGGTAAGTTACATCAGTGTAAACTTACATAGGTTTATTTAAGAGGCAGAACTGAGATTGAATTTGGGCATTTAGCTCCGGAGCTCTTTACAATGCTTAAATTGATAGAGATGATAGATAGATGATAGATAGATAGATAGATAGATAGATAGATAGATAGATGATAGATAGATGATAGATGCACTATAGTCGCGTTGAAATTAGAAAAAAAATCCTGTGATCCCTCAAGAGTTAGTTTAACTCAATTCAGTTTTGAATCCGTTGAACTTTGATTGATATTTCTATAACTGCCACAAAAACAAATTATGACTACCCAGGAATCTAAAATATTTGACAAAATAGTAACTTGGTAGGATGGTACATAGTAATTTATAACTTAGGCACATACATAATACTTAGTAAGCCTCTTTTAAGGCTAATAGTTCTTTTCTTTCTTTCAGATGCCTTAATGACTGCTACTCTCCTTTTTCGCTTAGAACCCACTTTCAAACATTGAATCCCATGAAAACCGAATAGAAAAGGCACAGAAAAAAGTGAGGCATAAGAAAGATAACTTCCCTGAAGGCCCTACTGATACCTTTGTGACTAATTCTTAAAATTCACAGTTGGAATAAACTTCTCCTTTCTCTGTGCCAGCCACAGTGATAACATCAGTAGTAGTAAAGACAAGACCAGGAAGGTGACCATAGAGAAGTGAAGCCCACAAAGTGTGGCAAAATTAGACAGAATTCACAGAAGATGTCAAGCTCACCCAGCCGTAGCTCTCAGCCCCTGGTGAAAAGCCCGGGGGATGGTTACTCTATCACCTGGGGGGTGAAGAAGTAACACGGGCCTGTTTCCGTTCAGCCTGTGTTCCCACCACCTTTACTTCTCATATTTAAAAAGTGTTTGAGCCGTTCTTAAATGAAAATCTGAAGTTTAAAGAGAAGAGGGAAGGAAATTTGTTCCTCTAAGGCATGTGTAAAAATACATGCTTTGCAAAGTAAGTTTTATGTATAAAACAGTTGGGTTCCAGCCCCCAAAATGATACATTTGCTGGATGCTTCCCCACCCAGGTGAGCAGAGCAGGGCGTCTGGCACACGGGTGCCCTGAGCGCCCTGGGTTAAGTGCGCCGTGTCCCCTTCACATCAGCTTCTTTGTCTTTTAATTTGTGTTTCATGCACAAGTTTATTTTTCTTTTTTACATTTCCCTTTAGTTTTCCCTTTTCCATTTTTTTCATTCTTCCTTTTTATCTTGACTTGAAAAAAACACACAAACTGCTTTAATGGTTTCCATACCAGAGTAACCACTTGTGCTTTACTTCCTAGTGTCTCATTCGTAACGCGCGTTCTCTCTATCAGCTTATCTTCTTTTGCCTTCTGTCCTTTCAGTTTGTGTAGCCTCTTCTCCTGCTCGTGACTTCTCCCACCTTTTTGTTTTGTTTTGTTTCCTTTTTGGTACGACAGCGTGTGGGGAACGCCTCTTTCTAAGTACCTTACGGTATTTTGAACCCACCTGTCTTGTTCTGTGTCGGGACCGAATCGCGTCGATGCGGTTTGTGCTGTGAAGACTCCCCTAGAGGCTTGCAGCGTCGCAGAGACGTCCTCAGCTGGGCCTGTTACGGGAAGCACTTCTTTCCTCGTATCTTAACAGCCTCTTGCACTGCCAGCTTACACAGATGCACCGAGCCTCCACGGACAAAGCCCGTAGACTCAGCCTGCCTGCCTGGCAATACGGAGATATGTTTTTTGGTTTGTTGGTCCCTGATCATTTTTTTTCTTTCCTCAATTCTCATCCAAGGACATGCTTTAGACAGAGGGGGGGGAGAGAGAGAAACGTCAGTGTGAGAAAGAAACATCAGTTGGTTGCCTCCTTTACATGCACTGACCGGGGATTGAACCTGCAACCTTTTGGTGTGTACAGGACACCGCTCCAACCAACTGAGCCGCCTCACCTGGGCTGGTCCCTAATTCTTGCTGAAATACTTAGGATTCTTATTCTCTCTCTCTCTCTCTTTTAATGGTGATATGCAGTGAATTAGGCCTTGTACTTGGGTAGAAATTGCAAACATGTTGGGAGCCATAACCCACTACCTCTTTACACTGCATTATAGTTTCCCAGGTGTCCAGTGACTTCTTAGGTAACAATATTTTAGTAACATTTTACTGAGAAAGTTAAGCTCAATTCAGTACTATCCTCACTTTTTGGAGAAAAGTGCAGTCAGGCTGTTCTATAAGACTTGCTGTGTAAGAAGCCTGGCTCCCTGCTGGATCTTTCAAGTAACAGCCTAGAAAACAAGCAGGGGCTGCAGAGACTCCTCACTGACTTCAGCAGGGTCCCTGCTGGGGAGGAAACGGGTGACACTGTTATATTCTGATTTGTGTGGCAACCATATATATATATATATATATATATTTTTTTTTTTTACCCTTCTACCTACAGAGTTGAGGAGTTACATTCCAGTTATCTCTTCCAAAGAGGATCTTTATCTTAAATGTGTCCACTTTAGGTGGGCACAGGCACCTTCCTACTGGCTGTAGCAATTTCCTAACAATTTTCAGTTATAAAGATTTTTCCTTAATTTCATTTAATTTACATTTTCCAGTTAGTGATAAAGCACACTGCTTCTATTCCAGTTGCACTGACTGCTATGGATAATTGTTTGACAGCTTCTCCCTAATCCTCCAACCCCAGCTGGTTAACCAGTGTTTTGTCAGGAGTTTAAATTCAGTGCAAAGAGGTAAGAGTTGCATGGTTAAAGCTATAGTTCAGAGAAGTAAGGCCCCTCCTGGAAATGCTTCCTTCTTTAGATCAAACTTCTACATCTGAAGCAAATGGTAGGCCAATAAATCACATAACTTTCTGTAACAATCTTTAAGGAAACCATCAGATCCCGGAGTTTACCCAAGTTGGAGTCTCTTTATGGCTGCTGCTATTACTGCTGGAATCTATGGTAGAGCCCCTAAGCTTGTTTTAGATCATTATTAATTTCTCCTAACTCAGCCAAATCAACAGAAAGGTAAATATCCACCAATACAAAGTATTTTTCAAAAGTTAAGCAGTTTTTGGTAAAACCCCAAACCTTATTAATCTTTTGCAGATGACAACTCGTATATTGCTGATGATTAAAGATACCCATGTGTTACAATAGGGTTGCAGACTCACAGCCCATCTCTCTTTTTCTTGATCTTTCAGTAAAGTCATAATGCTAAACTGGTGACTTTACAATCATTTCCTTGGCAAAAGATTAATATCATAGGCACAGAGGAAAAGAGCCCCTACTTACACACAAGTGTCTTCAATAACGGTGGGAGAAAACAGGATACTACTGGCAAAGTAAATTGCTTTTCTTCTTAAAACTCTTTTCTCCTTCCCATCCTGCCCCATGTGCCCAAGTGTAAAAGCTCTGCTTTGAAACTACTTCATCTTGTAGATCAAACACTTAAGAGAAAATGACAATAATAAAGCCCCAAACATCCTAGGAATAGCTGGGAGAAAACCCCCGAGGACAGTTGGAAATACATCAGTGCAGAAGTATGTAGCTGTGTTGAATGCACTATTTGTGCTGCTTATGCACACAGATTTTAAGGAATTATGTTAAATTTGATGCTCAATCACTGTTCTTTTCGGGCGGGGGGGGGTTGTCCTTTTCCTTGGTTCTCTTCAGGTTCCTTAGTTGCCAGCTTTTCTGAGTGAGATGCTTGGGTGATAAAGGATTTTTGTGGGAATAAAAAATTTTTTTCTTTTGAACACTATCTCCTGCTTCTCCAGAATGAGTGTTAGAATAGTCAGTTTGTATTTTACCTGTAAAATACAGAAATACATAATCATTTTAAAACAACGTTCAAAATGCACACCAAAGATTCTACCTTGAAATAAATCATTAACAGCAGGTTTCTGAGATTTCTTCATTGGGCAACTAGTTTGTTTCAGTTACAACCAGGTGTTCTGAGAGGTCCCAACACGTTGCCAGTTGGCTGGGGCCGGGGAGGCAGACCTCGCAGGCGGCAAAAGAAACAACGCATCACTGACAACTTCCATTCATCATCCGGCCTTCGGCCCGGGCTAGGAGCTGGAAAGAATGGGCTCCATGTGCGTTCTCCGGGAGGAGCCTTCAGGGCTTGTGCACTTTTAAAAGAAACCCGGCAGTAGTCTTTCATGTGAGACTGGAAGTATCTGGGAAGACGCAGCCCCGGTGCCCTGTGGTTAGGCTTCCCTTTTACAAATGGCCTCTCAGTTTCGCGGCGGGCGGACAGGTGTGGGCGGCACGGGTATAAAAGGACGCCTTGCTGTGCTTTGCGGTGTTGCTCCTTTCTCAGTTAGCTGAGCTGGGTGTGGCTCTTCCAGAGCACCTGTGGCAAGCGCGGTGACGCTATCGTTCTCATTTTTACACCTTTTCTGAAGATTTCTCTACCCCATCCCCAACCCATTATAATTATTTGCAAGTGATTTTTGTTGCCTTCTCCTGAATATAACTTATCTTCCTATCCCCCTCCCTTTGTCTCTTGCCTGGATTAGGGACATCTAGAATCTGTGTTTTCCTTTCTGTTTAACAAAAAGACTAGTTCCAGATTGAGCAGATGAAACTGCAGACCAAAAACCCAACTCAGTTCAACAGATTAAATTACTATAACTTGGAATTTTTACAAATGATTTGGGAAATGAGGACCATACAAATACTTCTAAGTGGCTCCAAGTATATCCTGACTGTACTTTATTTTTGGAGTAAGGTAAATGGAACTGTTTTCTAAATATGCCCAAGAGATGATTGATAATGGCAATATCGTTTATTTTGCCCAGATAGCTGTATTCACTCATTTAAAAAAAACCCAAAAAACTATCTGAGGCTTTTATGTGAAACTCCACCCCTCAGATGCCAAGTGATCAAAGTCCTGGAGCTGCGTGTGTGATCCATAATTGTGTGCACTGGTCGCCTGCATGTGCAATCCGCAATTGTGCACACTGGTCACCTGCGTGTGCGATCCGTAATTGTGCACACACTGGTCACCGAGAGTGCTCGTTCCCGTTGGCCTGTGTGCTGACTGCTTGGCAGGCAGAAATAGGTGTTTTCCTGTGTCCATTGGGCAAGCACATGTACGTTTTACTGGTGCATCTTAGCTGCGGATGCCTGAAAATTTGGCCTCAATTGTTTATAGAAAGGAAAAGCAATCTGAGCTGTCAGCCTTGATATTACCTAAACCTGCATAGAATGTGGTAAAATAATGCAAGATTTGTTTTTTAGGCCTGTTTCATATTTTCCAGGCAATAGATCAAATCAGTTCAGGGTTCATTTTTAGTTCTTTAATAAGCTGACACAGTATGCTGGCAGTGAAATAAGGATGCACTTTTAACATGGAAGTGCCACACAGCCGAACTTGCTGTTTGTGCTCTTTATTAATAACTAGAGAGCCCTCGGAAATCGAGTTCAGCACTTTCAGTGGGGAAACTGAGATTCTAACTCTTTCCATTGTAACGAGCACTGTCTCCATTCGGTATCCTAGTCTTATGCCCTTGTCAATTCCTACTTTCTTTTTCTGCAATTTATAAGTGTTTTACATGCCAGACAAGCAGTGAGAAGAATTAATAAGTCATCTGTATGCCTCTTCTCTCATATTCTTCCCTAACTCTAGACTCTTCCATATGTTCAAAATGCCCTTCCCTAGATATCCACTCCTTCACTTCAGGCTCTTATACCACAGTCACCCCAGGAAAGCCACCCCTGACCCCCCGTACCTAAAATGTCAGCCTCCAACCCTGACACTTCATATTACTTTTTATTCTCCTTAGCATTTATTTCCACTACCACACTTTACAGTTCCTTGGTGTCCCTGTGTACATATTATCTCTCTCTCCCACTATAATGTAAGCTCCATGAGGCCAGGGACTGTTCTGTATCTCCAGAATCTGGGACAGTGCCTGGCATTTGGCAGCCGCTCCATAAGTACGTACTAAATGAATGAATGGAAATCATTGCCCCAGGCTTTGGTTTCTTTGTCACCTGAGAATGATGTGTTTTCACAACCTGTTTGAATGTGGTGTGCTAACGTCTCCATATCCTTCACCCCTGTCCCTGCTGGGAAGGGGAAGGAGATAGGTGAGTTTGACCTACGCTGTGGTCCCCTGGAGCCGGTCATCCCCAGCCTCAGAGCGGTCAGCGCAGGGCTTCATTCAGTGAGCCAGCCTTTTTGGAGATATTTTCTCTGGGCTACATTTCTCTTAAACACCATCAGAACCATCTTCCCTCCTGCCTCTGCCTGGATTCTGTGCCTCTTTTCCTTCCCCAGCTTTTTGGATAGTCAGTAGCATGGATTTGAGTTAAAGAGCTATTCCTTCTTCACATAATAATACAGTTCATTCGAGTAAAGAAGCCAGCATCCCACTCCACCTATTGGAAGCCAGAAAAAAAAGACTGTGGATTAGCGATGTTTGCATTCGCCACACTTGCAGTCCTGGCGACCGTGACCAATGCCTCAAGCCTCACCATTGCTTTGCTGGGTTCTGAGAACATCCAGTGCTTCTCTGATGTTAAGTTTTACTGCCCATGAAAGCAAACATCACCTCCGTCACGGCCAGTTAAACAGTATCTTTTACAGTGGACTTCTGCATATCTGAAACCCACCCATCCAAAGCCAAAAGTAATGCCAGGGGGGAGAGATTTTATTCTGCCATGTTTCTTACAAGAGGAGATCAAGGGTCAACTCAATTCATAAAATTACTGCAGTCATTTTTCAGCTGGCTGAGAGACTTCACAGATCAAAAAATACAGTGGCTCCTAAATGATTTCTGATATGCACAATTCTCGTGTTTTTTCTTCTCAGCATGTGGTGCAGAGCCTGCCAGAAACCATCTTTGCAGCTATTGACGGGCGGATTAGAAATCATCCGCGATGGTTTCCATCGTTTCTCTGCAGGCTGGTCATCCATTTAAACTGCTCACTGTGGGTTCCTCTCAAAGCCTGCTTTGTACAGCTTTTCACTTACATTTTGCTCTTCTCTTTCAGTGTGGCGCTCACCTTGGGCACATTTTTGACGATGGGCCCCGTCCGACCGGCAAAAGATACTGCATAAACTCGGCCTCCCTGTCGTTCACGCCTGCGGAGCGCGGCGCCGACGGCCCTGCGGCCAGCAGCCCGGCCCAGGCCGACCAGACGGAGCTGTAGAGGCCCGGACGCGATGGAAACAAGTGTACTTAACGCGCAGCTTATTAACAGAATTCAGAATTGTCTATCTTAGATATATTTTTAAAAAAGAATATAGGGGCAGTTTTGTGCTATTGATATATTCCTCCTTTTGCTTAAACAGGGGCCCTGGCCACAATGCATTTTGCCGTTGACTAGATCGGGAACCGTTCATAACTTTAGCGCGCCCAGACAGCTCCGTGAAACCCCTTCACAAGCCGCTTCAGTACCTACCATTGGGCATAGTTTTCTTCACACATACAGCCGCTTTTGAGACTTTCCCCCCCTTGCTTAAGAGGCAGAGGTGCTTGGTCTTCAGACGTGAGAATTGAGATCTCCCGTGCACTGCAGGGCCCAGAGCTGAGGTGCGGGAGCGCAGGGCTCGGAGACCTGTGAGACACATGGCCCGAGGCATGTGCACAGATAAGGATGGGGTGACGTCTCCCGAGGCTGCTTAGCTTTGCGGACAGTTTGAGCTAAGGTCGTTTATTCTCACTAAAAGGGTGTGAAGGTCTAAAGTCTTTCCTTATGTTAAATTGTTGCCAGATCTGAGGGAGCGCAGGGAGTGTTGTGGCAGAGAAGTAAACATTACCTCACGGTTAGGCCTTTATTTTCTTTTCCATTGAAAACTCCGGAATGTAAGACAACTGTAAAACGTGGAGCCCCATTTTGCCCAAAGTTCACAAAGAAGAACACCTGCCGTTGCCTTTTCTAAGCCCGTCCCCGCACGCCTAATACCAGCTGCGTCTGCAAGGGCGTGCGGGTGGATCCCGCTGTGCAAAACAGGGCGGCAGAGAACAGAGCAGGGACCAAAGAGGCTGTCCCGGCACCAGAGGAGCCAGTATTATGCAGGAGAGCTGGGGTCCTGCACGTAGCAAACGGACCCCAAAGGGAGGGACTTCGTGCACAGGTTCAGGTGAACTCAGGAAAGAGGATGGGGGTTAATGTAGAAACAGCCAGGGGCTCGAGTCCCACCCTGACACTGATCTGCCGTGTGGCAAGAGACAAGCCATTTAGCCTCTCCATGCCTGTTTTTCATGCGTAAACCGGGACCTACAATATTTGTAAAAAATTGACACTCTCAGGGCAAAATTATTATCTTGCTGTACAGTTAAGATCAGTGTTGTGAAATTAAACTGATCTGGTTCTAATTGCCTCAAAGGCTGAAACCCAGGCATTTGAAATGGAAAGAAGCAGAGAGGAGGTTGACTTAGCTGATTGGTATGGAAACAGTTGGGCTAAGAGCCAGAAATTTTTCTTTGTAGCAGGATGGCTGGTTTTACTCTGAGAAGCCCTGCTTGGGTGCTGTATAACATTTAGTCTGGTGGGATGGATGTCATTGTGCACGGATATGAGCCGTGGTGATACAAGTTGATATCGCCGCCGCCAGGTGTGCAGGTACAGTTTATGGCTGACATATTTTGTGTCTGTAGCCTTGAATGCTAATCCCGAAATGTAGTTTTTGAAAAATACTATTTTTGTAAATCTTTGAAAGCTTATACAAATTGACATCTTATATGCACCAAGACAAAAATAAGAGGGACACTTGACAATCTTAAAGAAATAATGAGAAGTTAAAATGAAAAGTTGTGACACATTGAGATGTCATTGTGGTCACCTCCACATTCTTATGTGTCCACCAGCTTCCTGGGGAGGCCCTGACATCCCGGCGACTCTCCCTTGTCATGGATGCAGCAGCTTCGAGATTCCAGATAAGTTATGCTCGGCTTCCCTCTGCTCCCAGGTGTTTCCCCTCAGGCCCTGGGGTCGCTCGGGAATTTGCAGGTTTCACTCCCCTGTAGAAATGAGATATAAAATATAAGATCATTGAAGCCTCAGCATCCAGACTGTCTTAGAAGCTGTTCCCAACCTCACAGAGGGAGCCCTCACATTTCCCAACGATCCCATGAGGAGTCGGCCAAAGAAGTGCACCTCCCGGGACCTTTCCTATCACTGCGTGAGTCCGTCCTTTGGGGGCACACGTAGCACTTCTCACATCGCTCCAGCTAGGTGTGGTGGCCTGCCCCGGGGCCCGCTGGACACGAGCCACAGTGTTGGGATAGACAAGGAAGATAAACGAGGGGCTTCTTTTCTCTCCCCAGAGACTCTGGGTTCTCATTGTTCCTTCATTTTTATTGTAGGGCTTAACATTTCCCTCAAAAAACTCTGTTTCTAATCCTTAGTCTTTGTTTCACGGGAAGGCAGTTTTTATCCTACCACGTTTCCCAGCATCAACTTTAAGAAAAATGTAACATCCATCGGAAAAAAAAAAGTGGGGTGTATGCATGTGGTTTGATTCCAGATTGCTTTTGAGTTTAAGTGGTATCAAATTTCAGTATATTTCTGTCTTATGTTAAGGAAATATATTACTAAAATGTCAGTGAGCAATAATGTCAGCTGTCGAGCACTAGATTTATTTTTGCAGGATATGGAGTGCAATGAACTGAGTCAATATGGCGAGGTGTATGTGATCTGTGGGAGTTATGCCATTTAGCATAGGAAATGCAGGGGACTTTCCCTCTCTGTGCCCAGACCTTACTCTACCGTTAGGAGACGCAGGTTTCTGCTGGTGTATACAAAGTAGGTCCAGGTAATCGTGCAGAATAGATCCAAAGAAAGCCGCATATATATTGTATTAGAGAACATTTCTATGTGTTTAAACTTTTCACTTCTTAGATGCATTTAAATTCTTAATGCAAATGACAGTAATTTAAAAGCCTCTCCATGAATTGAAATGTCTTGCTATCAAATACAGAACATGATTGAAGGGATTATCATTTGGTCAGAAGTTCAAATATTATTTTTGCCTTGGATAGCTTTGTAATAATTTTTCTTCAAACAATTCAAAACTTTTGAAAATGATGTGAAATTTTCATTAAAAAGCCCTTTTCTTATGTTTATTGTATACAAGAATTATGCAATAAAATTTCTTTATAAAAATGTTTTCTCATCTGATTCCTAAAGACTCCTCATTTTTAGCACAGCTACATGGACTGTCCGCTGGGGTTTGCAGTAGGCTGCTCTGTTTACCTCCTTACCCAGCTGACAAACCTGTGGTTTGCAAGGAGGGCCTTTTACCTGATGCCTTTGCAAGCTGGGGCTCTGACGGTAGGGTTGAGTCCAACTCTCCATACCCCAGGCCCCAGGAAAGGCCTCCAGGGATTCGAAAGAGTGGAGGAAAGGGAAATGTTTGCAGAATTACTCAGCCTTCACCTCACCTCAGCAGAAACTTTAGCAGCTTGTATATGCTTTTGTGCTTCAAATATGGACTTCAGGGAGTTTCATCATAACTCTATGGGTAAAACGACAGGAATGATACCATGCTGATGCCTAGGTTTCCATTAAAGAATTTACTAGGGCCCGGCCGGGCGTGGTTGAGCCGTCGACCTGGGATCCAGGCTATTGGGGTTCGATTCCCGGTCAGGGCACATGCCCGGGTTGTGGGCTCGATCAGTGACTCTCTCATCATTGATGTTTCTATCTCTCTCTCTCCCTTTCCTTTCCTCTCTCTGAAATTAATAAAGACATATTAAAAAAAAAAATTTACTAGGAAACTTACACTGATGTCAAGAATTGGTCTCTAAGGAAACACAGGAGGAGTTCCCCATTACTCACAGATGAATTTACCTTGAAAATCATCTCTGCAGAAGAGCGTCTGTATATAGTCATGTACCACATAACAATGTTTAGGTCAGGGATGGACCACATATATGACAATGGTCCCACACCAAACATGTGGTCTGCAGACTATAGCATCAGTATCACCTAAAAAATTGCTACTAATACAGATTTTCAGGCCCTCTCCCAGACTCTCTGCACCAGAAGTTCGAGGGGCAAGGGAGGGCTTCACAATTTGTGTTTTAGCCAGCCCGCCATGTGATTCTGGTTCTTGTTCGAGTTTGAGAACCACTGCCTTGGAACTTCTAGTGAATAAAAATTCAATTGATATTCATTTTAAAAGCATTTCTACCTGACCCCCCAAAATAGCTTGATTTGTCATCACTGGTTGTCTTTCTACAGAGATGATCAAACAGTTTTCCCAAAGCTTCATGTCTTTCAGTTCTTGCCCATTGCTCATTTGTCTTGTTCTGAAGGACTAGCTGAGCCTTGTCAACCAGCAGCAGCTTAACTCCTGTTAGTATTCCTGGGTGACCACGGGCTGCCTGGAGGAGCTCAGCTGCCTCTCTAGAACTGCCGATGTCCGTGGCAGGGCTCCTCTCAGCAATTCCAAGACCTAGAGAACAGATCTGGATTTCGATCATGTACGTACAGACAGGGTGAGCCATGTACACAGAGAGCTGGTATCACCATAGAGCTCTGTCGTAACCTTAGAGCCGTTCCAGTAGGTTTTCATGACCTATATAGGGTGGGAAAGCTCCACCCACAGGCCCTCCTGATTCCTGTGTTGGTTAAGGTCTCTCTTGTAAATTTTGACATTTCCCTTTTTGATCAAGATCTTTCTCTGAAAACATCAATGATCAAGCCTTCTGACTTCAGTGGCTTTATGTCCCTTGATTCTAGGAAAGACCTCTTCTGGGTGCTTTGTCTCACGTTAGAGGGAAGGTGCGTGGGCTGGAGCTGCTCCTGTCTAGGTTCGACAAGCAACAGGAGCAGAGCTTAGCAACGAGAAGAATGTCGAGCCAAATTAAAAAGCAACACAACAAACTTAGCCTGCACAGTTCCAAACCAGGAGCTCAGACCTGAAAGTAGTGAAATAAGGGGTCATTATTGTCTTGGACAGATTGAAGCTCCTGATGACAGATTCAGTGACTGGAGAGGTTTCCCCTTTCACAAGAGATTGGGAAATGCGGACAAGGGCCTTTTCCTTCCAAGAAAGACAAAGGGAGCAAAATTAAAAAGCGATAGTAAGAAAAGGTGGTGCAGCCTGGTCCGGTGGCTTTGGAGAAGCTGTCTCCAGATGCCGCCCGCTTCTGTGCGCAGTTCCAGTCAGGATTTGGTGACACTTCTTTAGCTGCGATACATGAATCCAAGAGTCTGCTCCAGTTTTACTCTTTAAATATGCACCTGTGAACCAGGAGAAAGCGGCCGTACCCAGAGGAGTCGCCCGCAGATCATCACGGGGGCGGGAGGCGACCCTTCGGCGTCAGGCAGTGCTGAGGAGCTGCGTCAGTGTCGGGAGAAGAGATTAAGGTTATGCCAACACGACAGTTACGTGAGGAGCAGTTCACTGAAGAAAGGACTTCACAGCAGGTGAGGTGACTAACTGGAAGATGCTGGGTGTAGTGAGAATTCAGGAGCGCTCTTACCGCCTGGGGTGCAAAGATGGTTAAAGGGGACCCCAAGTCAATTTCCTTTGTGGCCTTCACCAAAAGGGCTGTGGCCGTCATGGCTCCGGCAGGGGGGGTACCCCCGGGCCCCGGGGCCCCGTTGCTGACTAGGATACCCTGTGGGCCTGTGGTGCTGCCCATGACTTCGGGATGTCCAAGAGCAGATGGGCTCATTCAACTCTCCGATTAGGCTTACAAGGCGATGTCATCCTCATAACACTGGGTTGGGACTGTCATTGTTTAGTAAAACATGCAGAAGTTTTGCCATCCGAGAGAGAAGTGGGATTCAATTTTGGCCAGAGCCCAAGCAAGCCTCACAGTTGCTGCTTAGGTTTGGACCTTGGGAAGTTTAAGACGACGAAGCCTGTTTGGGTCCTGGTGTAATCCTTGTTCTGCTCTCAGGTTCTGCCCCAAATGTTGAAACTGGGTTTAGACAAACGGATTTTGCTTTAGAGATGTTATTCCCTTTAAGGCTAAGCGTTCTAAAAGGTAGATGCTGTCTTCCCCTGAGGAGACCTGGGGGGGCAGAGAAAGAAACAAATCATCCATGTATTGCAACAAAGGAGAACCTTCCGAGAAAGTTACATCATCCAAACCAGCCCCCAGGATTTGTGAGAAATAAGGCTCAGCAAAATCCTGAAGGATTACTGTCCAGGTGCACTGTTTCCCTTCCCAAGTGAAGGCACAAAGGTATTGGCTAGCTCCCTTCCCTGGAATGTTAAATAATGCACTGCATAAATCAATTACGGAAGGAATTTAATTCCAGCTGGGAGAGACGTTTGTAGTGTGTGAGGGTTAGAAACAATAGGGTGTCGAGGGATAACAATGCTGTTTATTGCTCAGAGGTCCTGGACAAACCTCCACCCTCCGCCCTTGGGTTTTCTCATAGGTACAACTGGAGGGACGAGGGCCTTGGGTGCTATTACGGGTTTTATACCTTGAAGGACCTCTTGACTTAAGGGATACTGAGTAAGTCTGGGAAGGGGTTTTGATTGATCTTAATAGGTGGTGCACTGTGGGTTTTGCTAGTGTCAGTTGAAGAGTTTGCCCATAAAGAGGATGGCAGCTGATCCAATAGGGACAAATGATCACGCACTCCAGAGTCAGCTGTAGTGCCTTCAGAAACGGAGCAAATAAAAGATGCCGAAGAGCCATTTAGTTCACCCAGTTGGCTACTCTGAAAATTGCTGTCAAATTTTAGGATTATTTCCCTCTTCGGAAGACAGAAATTGTGGCATGATACCTCTCTAGGAAGTCTTGGCCTGAGAAATAAATAGGGGCAGGAGAACTGAGGAACTAAGAAACTCTCTCTGAAGGGGCCTAAACAAAAAGGGCTGGGTTTGGAGACAGAAACCTGTTGAGATTTATTTGAAATCCCCACTATCTGAACTGTGTTATTACTCGGAGACAGGGCTGCTTTATAGCAGTGGGGTCGAGCACTGAGAGTAGAGCTCTGGTGTCAACAAGGACCGATTCATTCTCAATTTAGAAAAAAAGTTTCTCCACGCCGATTAAGAGGGAGAATTGGGGGAAGCCATGTAGTCCCTCGGAGCCCCGTCATTGGGATTAGGAAGACCTTGGAAAGGCTGGTTATCAAGAGGCTGAGGACTCCTGAAGAGCTTAAATTTGTGACAATCTCGTTTCCAATATCCTGACTCTTTGCAAGGAGAGGAAGCAAGAAGTCTGGGTTTTGTATAGGACGCTTCATTTCCCAGAGCTGAAAACTAAAAATCTTCATAGTCTTACTTCTAGGTGGCTCAACAGGGTACAAACAAGCTTATTTACCAAAGTAACCAAATCTCAAGTGGACGTGGTTTCCCATTCCATCCTGGGAAAAGTCTCGGTTCAGCCCATTAATAAACGCAGAGCTAAAGGTTGCTTGAGTAGAATCAACATCTGGAGGAATACCAGAATTTTCTTTTAAAACAATCGAAAGTTGACTATAATAATCATGAACAGATCTGTCAGACTTTTGTGAGCAGGTCTGAATTTTGTCCTGATCAACAGGCTTTGGAAGGCTACTGAAACGGCTCAGTAGAGATCTTCAGTGAGTTTTCTAGCATTTTCTCCAATATCAGAGGTTTGTGGTTTTTTTTTTAAATCTCTGGGATTTTCCCACTGGGTGAGCCTCATCAGTGCCGAGTCTGCCCTTCCCCGGCTAGCATATGGACTAGCTGATACGAATTAGAAAACCCAGGCTGGTAATTTTGAATAATTATGTTAGTCTTCAGCAAATCTGTGAGGATCCTTAGTTACCTTAGGAAATTCTTTATGGCTCATAATTCAGCTTTCATCCAGGGAACATGTCAAACTTTGGGATCCTCAGAGGGCTTAACCGAAGTTCTTCTCAGAGGGGAAGGGGAAGTTAAGGGAAGAGGCTGTTACAACCGGAAAGCTCTGCTAAAACCCCAGAGTTGTTCCTGTAGAGCTTCTGTGGCAGACACAGGGTGTGAAAGCTCCTTCCACAGGCCCTCCTGATTCCCATTTTGGTAAAGGTCTCATAAATTTTGACAACCTGAAAAAGTGTCACAGGTTAAGAATGGTCTGTCGAGAACCCTTCCTGTCCACTGTCTCCCA